AAAAAGTAAGTATCACTGATGGCTGAGATAATTTTTAATTGAACTTAGAATTTCAACAGCGGTGGAAATACAAAATTCTACTGGCTTACAGACAACTGGTCAGTTATCTACAATCGTTTTTTGTTATTGTACTTTTTAGCGAAATGGGGTGTATGTTCGCCACATGGTTGGCTCAGATCACTTATTAATTTGGCATGGCTTTCAACGCATCTCTATTCCTCAAAGCTGAAGGAATCATAACAGGACGGATCATACTAACTAATGGTTGGTATTAGTGTTCACACCCTTATAATAAACCTTAACCCTAACAGTAACTCACTAAACTGTTAATTATAAATAAGTTCACTCGGCAGCCTGTTGTATATTCGTGCAGACGGCTATAAGCCATACCTGCTACATGAGGGCAACCCTAAATTCGACAGGTGGAGCAGCGTTAGATCCCCTGAACCTTTGCACTGATTGGAAAATGACTACCGAGCACAATGAACTACAAATCCACACCAAGTTGTGAAATGGAAGAGAATCAGTGACTACGTCGTCTTTTCATTGCGGACACTTAATTTGCAACTCGTGTACACTTCATACATAACACTTTGACTGTGACATTTATCGCTTTCATGCTTAAACGCCTAATACACAAGTCTACTTGAACTTAGGCTGATTTATTCCTTTCTATGTTCTTGTCAAGGCATCGAATTTATGAGTTCTTTGTTTGTCTGCTTTTTATTTCCCTTAGAGATTGCTCCAAGTGAATTAATTTCCGAAGCTCAGAATAAACACAAAGAGAAAAAACTTCTTTACACAAAATGTCAATAGTTAGTTTTATTAGTCAAAAACCTCGCCTGGTTAACTAGTTCACTAGTTACTAGATGGTCCTAAGCCCAGGAAAAGAGGGAAGGTTGGGCATAAGGCCGGCAACCCTACACAGTAAAACCAATCCAACCGCTACAGAAGCTTCAAAGCACACACAAATTATCAAAAATTAAAACAAAATCATTCCTCACTGAAATCGGAGAGATGAAATGACGCCAGTTGGTGAAAGCCTTCGGGAAGCCAATCGGCCGATGCATCTCCTCTCGATGAAAGCGAAAGTAAACATGAACACATGGAATGTCCGCACTATGTCTGAAGGTAGCAAGGCTGCCCAGATTACAAAGGAGATGAGAGGGCATAGAATAGAAGTGCCAGGGACCTGTGAAAGAAGGTGGAATAGAAGTGGACTCTCCAAACTGTCAACTGCAGAGTCAATAATCTTCTCCGATATTGTCACAAAGACGACAACCACGAGCACACTGAATTCTGGAGTGGCCATCACGATGTCTCCAAGAGCATCAGTCTGTCATGCAGTGGAAACAAAACTCAGCAACCACGATCACGACACCAAGATTCAACTCAAGGGAAAGACAGTAAAATGGTACAATGCAACGCAGGTAAAAATAATGTTCATTATGAGAAGAAGGAGGAATTCTATAGGCAACTGCAATCAGTACTGGAAAAGACCTCAGTTAGCGACACCAACATTCTAATGAACGACATGAATGCCAAACTCGGAGCAGACAACACAGGAAGAGAACTAACCATGGGTCGAGAAGCGCTAGGTGGAATGAACCAGAATGGAGAACTGTTTGCAGAATTCTGCGCATTCAACGATTTGGTGATTGGAGGCACTGTGTTCAAGTACAAGGATATCCACAAAGCGACATGGATTCGATTTCACCAGATGGACACACTAAAAATCAAATTGACTTCATCTCAATGTTAAGAAAGTGGAGACGCAGTCTACTTGACACAAGGTGAAGATGTAGGTGTAGATGTAGGTTCATACCACTCACTATCTAGTGCAAGGAACCTTCGAAATCAAGTGAAAAGCTTTCAAGGAAGCTGGTGATAGACCACAGTTCAAGTAAAACACTCGGAAACTGAAGGATGAAACTACAAAGGAAATCTTCACGGCAGCCATCAACACAAAATGGGAGATATCGAGGGACATCCCTGAAGAAACCTGTGTGGAAGAACACTGGGAGTCTTTGAAAGAGATGTGGAAAGAAACCTGCACAGCCGTATTAGGAAGGAAGAAGAAAGAAGATAAGGAATGGATCTCAATGGACACATGGAAGCTGATAGAGCAGGGAGAGGAGGATGGTGAAGCAGAAGATAAACCAGTGCAAGGATGAACGACGAGAAGAGGAACTGAGTACAATGTATAAAACACTACACTGGACAAAGAAGTGAAGAAGAGTGCGCGCAAAGATAAAAGACACTTCCATGGCACACTGGCAAGTGAAGCAGAACAGGCTGCAGGTAGTACAGACTCGACAACATTATATCAAATAACCAGGTTACAATCGATCTGTGAAGAGATCAACTCAGACGAAACCAAGGAAAGATAGTGAATGAAACCTGGTCACGAAAGAGGAGGAACAAAGGAAACGATGGGCTGATCACTTCAGAAAGCTCTTGAATCGACCACCACCTGCACTTCGTCCAGAAATACCATATGCAGCCACAGAACTACAAGTGAGCACAAACCCTCTGACGAAAGTCAAAGTCCTGAACGCCATATGGCTACCGAAATGCGGGAATGCAGCAGGACTAGATGGAATCACGTCAGAAGCACTGAGAACAGACGCAGAGACATTAGCAGCGGACATGCCAACACCACTACTGCAGAAGGTCTGGAAGGAAGGGAAGGTACCTGCAGATTGGAAGAAGGGCTACCTAGTCAAACTCCCGAAGAAGGGCGACCTAAGTCTTTGCAAGAACAAGGACTGGCGCGGAATCATGCTCCTGTCAGCCCCAAACAAAACACTAGGCCACATCATCCTGGAGAGACTAAAGGATGCACTGCATTCAAAACTACGACCCGAACAGGCTAGATTCAGGAGGTACATATCATGTGCGGACCAAATTGCAACGCTTCACATCATCACAGAACAGAGTATAGAGTGGTAGTCAACTCTCTACCTCAACTTCCTTCATCGACTTTCAAAATGCCTTTGACAGCGTCGACCGAGAAGCAATTTGGCAACTGCTTCAACACTACAGAATACCACAAACTTTATCAATCTCATTCAACAACTATATGAAGACGCCACATGGCAAGTGATTGACAATGGGAAGCTCAGTGACGCCTTTGAAGTGAAGACAGGTTGGCAAGTAAGACGAGGTTGCCTACTATCACCAATGGTATTCCTGATTGTGTTCGACTGGATCATGCAGCAAACAGTGAGGAGCGAGAAGAGGGGAACACGCTGGACCGCGCGAAAGAGCCTAAAAGATTTGGATTTCGCCGATGACTTGTGCATAATGTCGTACAAACTTCAAGATCTACAGGCGAAAACTAACAAATTGACAGAAGAGGCAGGGCAGGGCAGGGCAGCGAAGACAGGACTTCAAGTGAGTGTAGAGAAGACAGAGGTGATGATGATACCCAACCAACAACAACAGGCTCCAATCACCATCAACGGGAGAAACTTGAAAGAAGTAGCCTCTTTCACCTTCCTATCTAGGCAGCACCGTTTCAACTACAGGTGGCGGCACAGACGAGGACGTGAAAGCCAAGATCGGAAAAGCAAGACAGGCGTTCATTAACTTGAAACCAGTGTGGACATCTTCTGCACTCAGCATAAAGCATGAACAATATCCAGTTTTTCAACACCATCGTGAAGTCAGTGCTTCTGTATGGTTCAGAGACTTGACGCGTTATGAAAAGCATTCCCAACAAACTACAGATATTCATCATCAACTGCCTACTCTGGCTCGGTACTGAAGCTTAGGTGGATTGCCAGAAAGAATAGGCAACAAGGGACTCTGGCCTGGCAACAAACCAACCAAGAACCTATCACTCAACAAACATGTACTGGAAGGAAGTGGAGATGGATTGGGCATACACTGAGAAGCCCGACTGGGGACATCACGCGGCAGGCCAGGCCGTCGAGTGGAACGCAGATGGGAAGTGATGAATTGGGCGTTTGAGGCGAGGGTGACATAGAGTAGATTGTGTGAGGAAGAAATGAGAGCTTGTGGACTGTCGTAGAGCCGGGTTCGAAAGACTGCAGAGAACAGAGTGTAATGGAGGCGTGCTACTGAAGCGGTATGTTCCATTAGGAACCCGAGGGCCAAATAATAATAACAATAACTGATAGCATCTCAGTGGTCTTGGTAACTACAGTATTACATACGATACTATACAACGACCAGCTTTGTCAGATAGTCGTTTTGTCTCCTGCGGGGATATAAAAAGAGAAGATCGTGCGTCCGTTTGGTGGCAGTGATAGTGGTGGTGGCCTCTTAAACCATGACGAAAATCTACAGTCGAACGTAACTAACGCTCTGTTGTGTGCTTCACAGTCTATTACCATCTGCTGTATTCCTTTTTCATAATTTTATTCATAACTTGTACAATGGGAGATTCCAGACATTTTAAGAGTCCGCAAGAGTATACAAAACGATTTGAAGACATATATCCAAGTATGTCAACAACTTGAATCTGACTGCTAAACTAAATGACATGATACTGTCATTTACTGCTGCTCTTTTTGCCAAGCATCAGGTGTCAGTTGACATAAAATCCTGGCAAACTTCAGTTTCATACTTGTTACAACAAAAGTGGATCTGAAACCTTGAAGAAGATCACCGTCTCTCGAACTTTTGAACCTACAGAAATCTAAGACACTGCTATACGAGTAAGCACACATACACAAGACCTCACACTCAAGAATGAATGAATGAATCTAACTAAATACTTACAAAGCAAGCAGAATATGTGACCCTCTCATCACCTTTATACCGCGAGCTAAAGCCCTCATGGATAGTTTCCTCCGGATTCCATGCGTAGCAAAGCTTCTGTTACTCAGCAGCAATCAGTAGGACCAAACTTCTCACCTTCTTGAGTATGCTAATACGGGCTACTCTCAACAAAGCATATATGCGTACATGCAAATACAGGAGTGAGGCATCTTTCCTTTTAAGACAAGTTTAAAAACACACATAAAACTCACCTGTTTGTGGGTCTCCTAAGCTCTCAGGTAATTTAACTTTATCCAAATTCAGATAAGCCAATAAAGCCGATGACTTTTTTGTACTTGCTGTTAGCAGATTACCTTCAATTGTATTATGTGTATTGATTTCAGTATTATCAATAGTATTTTGAAGTAAACTAGAAAATTGGTTTCTATGAGATTTCGACTCTTCAGTTTGAATTTCAGGAATCGGTTGGTTTCTCTTCTCTTGAGAATATAATATCAAAGAATAACATTTGGTTGGGGAAGTATCATTTTTCATGAATGAATCTTTTGGTGAAATTTGTGCATAATTTGTTTCATGAAGATTTTCAAACCAGAATGTTTGCTGTTGATGTTGGCTTTGCCCATTGTTAAATGGATGACCTGGCGGACTTGTTGTACTGGACCATAAATAATAAGGATTAGTGTAAATTGTTGATACAGTGTTATGCAAACTGGTTGGACAATCGTATGTATCATTGGAATGTGAAGGTACACCACTTTTAATTGTTTCATACCTACTATCACGAGTATCATTCATAGATGCTCCACTCCAAAATGATGGATAGTTACTTGAATGATAAACTTGTGACATTTGTTGAAAATTATATGCATACTTGATTTTTAAATAAACTGGTCAAGTATGCGCTGATTATTCTATCACCCGATTAGATAAAAGCACCACTGGAAGTTAGCAATTGGTATTTGTCCCCTTCTTTTGTACACTTTCCTTCTTTCTATCTCTCTCACTCGCCTCCTTTTCTTACAATTCAACATCTTCTCCCTATAGAAAGTAACACTTAACTGTATCCCAGGCAAATTCTCTCCACTTTGTTGATAGATTTGTGTGCCTCCTCCTGCCCAATGGGAGATGCCTAAATAAGGAGTAGAATGCAGGGGGGAGGGGGAAAGGCGCAGTCCTGCACAAAATACAGGGGGAATAAGATGTGGAATGGGCGGAGAATAAGCCTTCTTTTCAAGATCTCAATATGTGTATGTTTTGAGGGGGGGGGAGGTAAATGATGAATGTGATGATTGGATTGGTTAGTTACGAAAATCAGTGGAACAAAACGAGACACAAATCACGATTAAAAGGGATTCGAGAAGATTGTGACGAAACCAATCGAAGAAACCCAAATGTCTGGGTTCTCTACCCATGTAATGGTAACTGGAGGAGAATTCTTCCAAAATGTTTAGTAAATGACGGAATACAACCCATTCTAAATTCGATTAAACACACATTAGTTTGCTGACGAGTGATTTGACTCTCATTTTACTCTCCACTGGCCAATATTTTCCGATCACAGTGAATTTATGATATACAGTTACTAGTCACATTAAACTACGATATTTTGTTGTTGTAACATGCAAATATATATATATCGATTGGCTTTGCCGAAGATTGAGTGAACTGAATGCTGATTGAAGACGAAATGGAAATTTGAACCACGGACAGATTCGAACCATCGAACCCCGGGTTTCTTGCCCAACTGAGCTACGAGGTTCGACTGCTGACCAGATTTTTATTCCACTTCAATCGTCACCCAGTATAGATACTAGTCTTCGAAACCACGGCTATCTCAGATAGTCGAAATAATAGCTGGTGTAAGTAACGGAAGTGCAACAAATAGGACAAAACATGTATTCTGGTTTCTACTGTTAGCCACTGTTCATTTTTAGAATCAGTGACGGACAAAGTACTACGCAAATATCTACCTTTTTTTCATGTTACGCTACTCTTTCTCTTTATGTCCTCTGAACCTACTGGCTAGAACTGTCTTTTGTCTTCACCTCTCATCTTACACCCTCTAGTTAACACAGTACTAACTCAAACTGAATGCATAAATCCGTGGTCCTGTTTCGTTGTTGTCTGTCATTGTCTGTTCATATTAACACGGATTTCTTGATAGTCCCAGCTAAAAAGCACTACTTTCTGGACATAAAAACATTTCGCCAGCATATCAATCAACAACCACATTGAAGTACGTATCGAGTATGCATATTAACTGAATCATTCAGTATGGTACAGAACCAAGTTTAGGCTGACTGTGAAAAAGTGACTCACTGTTTGAAGCACTCGACCTCCAAGTAACGAAGTGCAGGTTAAAACCTCTATTCCACCTATTTTCGTATGAGAATGTAGGTAGTATCATCAGGCATTGCATTTCAGATATGGCCTACAGCCTAGAACGAAAGTCTGTCCTCGGTTAAGTTGTAATGCTATTAATATGACCTGAAATCGAAAACTGGAAATTTATCTTTAGTTCAATAACAGAACACATTGTGAACTCAGGCCACTCAGCTCTTTTAGATAACTCATTCAAAATCCTCTACAAGGTTCAATCAAAGCACTCGGAGGGAGTAAGATCAAGGCATTTAGGTTTAGCTAAAGCAATAGCCGTTCATAAGTTCAAACCAGCATTGTTTTCAAATAAGGTACATTAAACCTAATCCTTTGCTGTGGCCAGCATAAGGCCTTAACCGTCATAAATTTATCCTGTATTAGGTAGTTTTACATCTTATTTTCATAACTCTTTGTTTATTTTCCCACTAAATCCGGATTTGTATTAATTAGCTTCCGTTCGTCACTCAATACATATGGCACCCTGACTAGAAATAATTCTTGAGTGTTATGCCCACCGTAAGGTGTATTCACGAATGTACAGTTTATTTAATAACTTCGTCGAAAAGAAATTTTTCATTGCTTCAACCGCCTTTTGTTTTTCCGATGATCAAATGAGTCTGTTGTGTTATTATCTGACTGTGAAATAGCCTCACGATTATCTTTGAAAATCAAAATACACTTATCATCATATATGACATGTTTTAGCACTAAGAAGTGTGTTGAGAATGTGGACTGCAATAAATTAAGACATATTACAGATGACAGACATAATTGGTTGGTGATTAAGTAAAATTCAACAAAAGTATGTTCAGACAATCATGATTACCGGCGTATTCGGTGTCCCTGTCACTGTTACTGATTGAGCTATATGAATGGATCTTGACTAGAAGACTGGTAGCGAATTATGTACGTAGGTAACATCTGTGCCGCCTGTAGTTGAAACGGTGCTGCCTAGATAGGAAGGTGAAAGAGGCTACTTCTTTCAAGTTTCTCCCGTTGATGGTGATTGGAGCCTGTTGTTGTTGGTTGGGTATCATCATCACCTCTGTCTTCTCTACACTCACTTGAAGTCCTGTCTTCGCTGCCCTGCCCTGCCCTGCCTCTTCTGTCAATTTGTTAGTTTTCGCCTGTAGATCTTGAAGTTTGTACGACATTATGCACAAGTCATCGGCGAAATCCAAATCTTTTAGGCTCTTTCGCGCGGTCCAGCGTGTTCCCCTCTTCTCGCTCCTCACTGTTTGCTGCATGATCCAGTCGAACACAATCAGGAATACCATTGGTGATAGTAGGCAACCTCGTCTTACCTGCCAACCTGTCTTCACTTCAAAGGCGTCACTGAGCTTCCCATTGTCAATCACTTGCCATGTGGCGTCTTCATATAGTTGTTGAATGAGATTGATAAAGTTTGTGGTATTCTGTAGTGTTGAAGCAGTTGCCAAATTGCTTCTCGGTCGACGCTGTCAAAGGCATTTTGAAAGTCGATGAAGGAAGTTGAGGTAGAGAGTTGACTACCACTCTATACTCTGTTCTGTGATGATGTGAAGCGTTGCAATTTGGTCCGCACATGATATGTACCTCCTGAATCTAGCCTGTTCGGGTCGTAGTTTTGAATGCAGTGCATCCTTTAGTCTCTCCAGGATGATGTGGCCTAGTGTTTTGTTTGGGGCTGACAGGAGCATGATTCCGCGCCAGTCCTTGTTCTTGCAAAGACTTAGGTCGCCCTTCTTCGGGAGTTTGACTAGGTAGCCCTTCTTCCAATCTGCAGGTACCTTCCCTTCCTTCCAGACCTTCTGCAGTAGTGGTGTTGGCATGTCCGCTGCTAATGTCTCTGCGTCTGTTCTCAGTGCTTCTGACGTGATTCCATCTAGTCCTGCTGCATTCCCGCATTTCGGTAGCCATATGGCGTTCAGGACTTTGACTTTCGTCAGAGGGTTTGTGCTCACTTGTAGTTCTGTGGCTGCATATGGTATTTCTGGACGAAGTGCAGGTGGTGGTCGATTCAAGAGCTTTCTGAAGTGATCAGCCCATCGTTTCCTTTGTTCCTCCTCTTTCGTGACCAGGTTTCATTCACTATCTTTCCTTGGTTTCGTCTGAGTTGATCTCTTCACAGATCGATTGTAACCTGGTTATTTGATATAATGTTGTCGAGTCTGTACTACCTGCAGCCTGTTCTGCTTCACTTGCCAGTGTGCCATGGAAGTGTCTTTTATCTTTGCGCGCACTCTTCTTCACTTCTTTGTCCAGTGTAGTGTTTTATACATTGTACTCAGTTCCTCTTCTCGTCGTTCATCCTTGCACTGGTTTATCTTCTGCTTCACCATCCTCCTCTCCCTGCTCTATCAGCTTCCATGTGTCCATTGAGATCCATTCCTTATCTTCTTTCTTCTTCCTTCCTAATACGGCTGTGCAGGTTTCTTTCCACATCTCTTTCAAAGACTCCCAGTGTTCTTCCACACAGGTTTCTTCAGGGATGTCCCTCGATATCTCCCATTTTGTGTTGATGGCTGCCGTGAAGATTTCCTTTGTAGTTTCATCCTTCAGTTTCCGAGTGTTTTACTTGAACTGTGGTCTATCACCAGCTTCCTTGAAAGCTTTTCACTTGATTTCGAAGGTTCCTTGCACTAGATAGTGAGTGGTATGAACCTACATCTACACCTACATCTTCACCTTGTGTCAAGTAGACTGCGTCTCCACTTTCTTAACATTGAGATGAAGTCAATTTGATTTTTAGTGTGTCCATCTGGTGAAATCGAATCCATGTCGCTTTGTGGATATCCTTGTACTTGAACACAGTGCCTCCAATCACCAAATCGTTGAATGCGCAGAATTCTGCAAACAGTTCTCCATTCTGGTTCATTCCACCTAGCGCTTCTCGACCCATGGTTAGTTCTCTTCCTGTGTTGTCTGCTCCGAGTTTGGCATTCATGTCGTCCATTAGAATGTTGGTGTCGCTAACTGAGGTCTTTTCCAGTACTGATTGCAGTTGCCTATTGAATTCCTCTTTATTTTCTTCATTGGATCACCTCACTGCTTCTGTTTATATTTCTCTAGGAACGCTTATGACTGTCTTAAAATTTTCTCGAGTTTTTAATTCACATTGACTCGATTTATAAATACTTTTGAATGACATAAACAAACGAGTTTCTGAATATGCGTAGATAATTTGAACAGTTTCGTATATTTTGTCATGCCGCAGTTCTACTGTGCTATGTTTAGCTATGTTTCTTTGCTCTCATGCCCTTATTCATCCCGGTCTGCTAGTTTGACTTAGGTGTTTGATCTCACAGTCATTTCATTGAATTTGTTAGATCAAATTGTTTTGTTTATCATGTTTGATAGGATCTTTTCGCTAGTAAATTTTGTGTCTACGTGAATGTGTAGGTTTAAATGTGATTCTGACGGACAAAATCATGTTATAACCTAACACAGAAAAGAGTCCGTTCAAGTCGACAAAATTCACAGCAGCATAT